GGAGTGACATGAGTTGTCTAGGTTCCATGAAGATCAATCGAGCTGCTGAGTTCTGTATCGTTTGAAGGGGTCTGACTGCACAGGAAGGAAGTCCAGCGAGGAGAGCATTGCAGTAGTCAAGTCTTGATATGACCAGTGCTTGGACTAGGAGTTGAGTTGAATGTTCTAGGAAATATCCATGATAGGAGAAGCCGTGTCAGTGGATAATGGGACCCAGGGAGGTGATTTAACTTGAGAAGAGCAGGGAATCAAGGACTGAACCCTGTGGAATGCCTGTGAACAGCTTCTGCGGCGAGGAAACCTAGTTCCTCCAGCCGACTCTGAAGGATCTGGCAGTGAGGTAAGACTTCAGCCAGTCCATGGCAGTGCCGGAGATACAGAGAGAAGGTCGAACCTTGTCGAAGGTTGCAGAGAGATTGATGATTCAGAGTTTGCTCTGGCGAGTCTGAGTGCCTCTGTCACTGACAGAGGAGCTGTTTCGGTTGAATGGCCGTTCTTGAATCCTGATTGGTTCTTTTCAAGTTTTCCATTATCTGTGAGGAAAGAAGACAGTTGATTAAGGTAGAAGTGAGATGGCTCTATAGTTTTCTACCTGAGAAGCTGGGTTTTTGAGTAGAGGAGTTACCTGAGCTTCTTTGAAGGAGTCTGGGAAGGTTTTGGAGGTGAGAGATGAGTTGATGGTACAATTGAAGGTGAGAAGGTATTTTAGTCAAGACTCTTGCTGTGAAAAGACTTTAACTTTAATCATTTAAATGATCATGAGATCAAAAGCTTGAATCTAAATTTCGTTTAGAACCAAATTAAATCACACGATTTCAGAGCAGGCCTTTCCAATTTAAGGTTTATTTTAACATAGTCGCAAGTTCAAGTTTACCGTACCAAAAAAAAAAAAGCTTTTTGTGTCAAAACTATTAAACACAGGTTCACAAGTTTTCCTTTACTCTATTGTACCTAAATATCTCTTTGTGTAATTATAAACTGGTCATATCAGATTACGGTAACAGAAACTAGTTTCGGGAGTTTCTTCCATCAATTATTAAGGCACGGCATTTAAAAAATGCTGCTGTTGAACTGACACTGAACTGCATTCGCTCTGTAAGTAGATACCACCAAGCGGCAACCTAAACAATTCAAAACAGAGCATGTGCTGTCCCTGATTGGTGGCTCGTGTGTGCTTCACTAATTACATTTTTTATCCACTTATAAATAAAAAGGAAAAGAACGACAAAGTTTTTGGAAAATATCATTAAAAAATTTTCGTAAAGTACAGATACTTAAGTTAGAATTACTTTACAGTTACTGCCCAGCACTGGGAAAATACTGTAAAATCTTTTTCACCCTAAACCAGAGCAACTCTGACAGGATCTCTAAAGTTTCAGACTTTATTTTCTTGCACATTATTTTTGCAACAGATCAATAAAATAATGATTGAGCCTCTGGCTAATCTGCGTTGTCTATATAGTTCAGAGAATAAACCATTTCAGAAAACACTTTTTTTTTACCTTTTGGATGTTGGATCACTGTTAAACCGGATCATCGTTTTTCGTGAACCTATTGCAGGCTACCCAGACCCTGAAGTAGTGTGGTACAAGGATGAGCAGCCTATAAAGGAGACCCGTCACTTCCAGATCGACTACGAAGAAAATGGTCACTGCAGTTTGGTGATCTCTGAAGTCTGTCCTGATGATGATGCTAAGTACACCTGCAAAGCAGTCAACAGTCTGGGAGAAGCCTCCTGCACTGCCGAGCTGATGGTGGAGTTCATGCAGGAGGAGGAGGGAGATGACGATGACTGAAGAATGATGGAGATTAACACCGCACACAAACTTATTTTTTTCCCCACATTATTTATGATATTGGTTACACTTTCTTGTGCCTTTGTTATGGAGTGGTGACTTTTACAAGCACTTAGGAAAGGAATAATGACGAGACATTTTCTTAAAGCTTCTGTATGCAAGATAACATGTTAAACATAGTGTGATGCATATATCCTGGTGGTTATGATCCAGTCACTTCCCTTTCCCCTTCACCAATCCCTTGAAAGGGATAGTAACTAATACTGACGCTGCTCTTCCCTATCATTTTTTAATTTTTTTGTCCAGATTTTCACCTTCCTCTTAACACTCTGTTAACAATTGTCTTTATCTCCTTATGGAGGGCGTCAATGATGGTCTTCTGCACAATCCTCATGTCTTTCTCATGAATAATGACGTTTATCATGATATGCCAATTTTGTTAAATACCGCAAAGTTATTTCTAATTATTTAGATTGAAACAAATAACAGCTTGAAGCATTTCAGTGTGTGTAACAAACGAGTGTTAGGATCTTGTCTATTCTGTCTATACTTTGTCTCCCTTCTCATCTTGTGTGCCACTTCATTAGCTCCAGCTCTCTGTCTGTCTGTGTTTATAGCTGGCTAGGTTTCTGCACTCATTGTGAGTGTATTACCCTGTAATCACCAGAAAACTCCATCTGCATGTTACCCCCGGCCTGTTTGTTCCTGTCCTGTCGTGGAAGATCTGAAGCTATTCTTCTGCCTGTGATCCCACTGTGAGAACATCAGTTATAAGACATCCACTCCCTCTTTCCCTCCAAGAAGTACCATTGTAACTGTCCACACACTCTTTGAATTTTTTTTTTTTTAATTTTTGGGACTCCTGGGTCTTTAAGATCAACAGTGTGTTTGTTCATCATTTTTGGTGCTTTTTGTTTAATAAAAGAGGCTGATTGCAATTGGGTCATATTCTGTGGATCCTAACAAGTTTCACCTTTTGAAACAAATTATTGATAATAATGTGACTTTCCCTTTATTTTCATGTTTTTGGCACAATAGTAAGACAGCATTATAATTGTAATCTGATTGCTTGCTTCTGTCGAGACGTGTCTTTTATATTGGTATCTTAATCTACGTTATAATGGTAACTAGCCAATATATTGGCTAGTTACCATTATAAGGTAGATCTGGTAGCTAGAAATCTCAAATAAACGATTGCGTCCATCCATATTTTTATTAGTTTATAGGGTATGTCACTAGGCCAAATTCACTCTTAAGACGAATTTAGTTTTAGAGAGGCAGCAGTGTTACCCACATAAGTATTAATATGATTCATTTTCTTTTTAATAGATTTTTTTGAAGCTCTGACTGTTTAAATAAACCTCCCAGTGCATCTGTGAACTGCTCATTTCTTTGTCTGTGTGACTCAGATACTTCTTTCTTAAGCTACATAGCACTAAATGTTGGTGTTTAAAATAAAACAGAATGGAAATTTGTTGTCAGAAAAATGCCATTGCTACAATTATGCCACAGTGTGCCGCTTTCAGTCAAAGATTAAAAGTTAATGGTAGGTTATTCTGTTCTTCTGGCTGTGTGGGATCTACAAAGTGACTGCAGGAACCTATGTGTGCAATTTTTTGTGCATTTATATATTATTAGCTTTGCTTTCGTAAGTAATCCATGCTAATGTTAGTACATGTGATAGAAATCCCTGAATTTTGACAGATATTCAGATACAGAAAACCCAAAGTCTCTTCTTTTCAGTCTTATCCATTGCAATTAAAAGTGTACAGGCCCCAGGTCAGGCTGACGTTCACACCCACCACTCTGATTCTGGTAAAAGCGGAACTTTGTTCACACCCCCCGATCTGTAATGTATAAAAACCCTGAAGAAACTGCCAATAAACTGTGACTTGGTTGATGCATGATCTCTGTACTGTGTCTCTTTCTTTGTCACCCGGAGATGTCAGAACTTTGTCTCTCGAGAAGGAAGAACAGAATAACCTACCATTACATACACAAGGCCTCAAGTTTACCCAAAATCTGTGTTTCTCATCCTGACAAGTATGTTCTGTGAACCTGTCATCACTGAGTCTTTTTCCAGTCATTAGACACCTTAACAGAAGAACACCCCGGCTCGTCTCCTGCCTACTTTACGTACATTTATAGATGTTAATGAACATACTTATATGAGAAACAGACGCCGAGAAGATACCAAATTCAAGCAATAAATGCAAATTTATTCAAACTGAATTGACAGAGCTTTTGGTATAGCGGCTTAGAAAGAAGAAACATTTTTAACAATAAAGTATTTGAATTTGAGAGTTGGTCTGATCCAGTTGATGATTTTTTTCACGCTCTGAAACAACGGAAAGTTACAGTCACCTCAAATTAAAGTTTATTTACAACTGTGGACCTAAGGCCTCTACACACCTATGCATTTTTTTAATGCAGGGGCTGCAATCTTTAGTCCTAATTACATGGTGCTAATGTAACAATACACACCAGCTGGAAAGAACGCTGCCTTATTTTTTAAGAAACACAGGAGCTTTTTTTTCATGCAGTGTGTCAACGGTGTGATTGGCTCGTTTGGTCACATGTCTTCAGCCGGGAAAGGCAGCAAAAGTACTCCCAGAGGAGCAGAAGCAGAATGATTCCTTCAGACTGCAGGTCTGTCTGGAGCAGCCTCCAGTCGCTGCTGAATTCACTCTGGACATGATTTGACACAACATTATTTTAGACAAAACTTGTTCTTAAACTACATCACACAACCAAGCACTCTCATGAAAGCACGGTCATGAGAAATATGTGGAGTGTTTGGGATTGCCAAAACAAGCTTGCCCTCATGAGGCATGAGTTTTTGCACTGCATTGCTTCTATTCTATTGCTTCTAGATTCTATTTCGAAGAAGAAGACGCTGGTGCTTCAGCTTCCAGCGAGTCTTCGTTCCAGATGGGTACCTCCGAGGCCTCTTTTGATAGGATGGGTTGAGTGGTGTCAGGCGATCCCTTGCACCATCCCTAGTCATTTTAGTATGCCTCTTGTCCGGTCTGCAGGTGAATTGAGCAACACATAGAGCCTGAGGCGTCTGAACTGATGCACTCTACCCTGCATTCGCCCTGGGGATCGGTTCACCATTATCGTTCTGAAGGAGTCAAGGTAGCGGTGGTTCCAAAGCATAGACCCTATCTGAGGTTTTGTTTCGAGGGCCAAGCCTACCAACTGTGGCATGTGGCTCAGTTGATAGAGCATTAGGTTAATGACACAAAGTCCTAGATTCAAATCCCTGGGCAAGCAAGAACTAACAAAAAAATGAGTTTATTCATTCAAATGTAAGTCGCTTTGGCCAAATGCATAAAAATGTAACTGCACCAGTAAAAAAAAATCCTACCTTTCAGTCTTGCCCTTCCTTGCCCCTCTCCACATCCTGGACTGCCGTGATGATTGGCTTCTCCTAGCCATGTCTCGAGACCATTTGATCGAACACCTTGGCAAGGTGCTTTGACTCTTAAAACATTTGGGTTTGAAGGTCAACTGGGAAAAGAGCCACCTCACTCCGGTGCAGGTCATCACTTTTCTTGGTATGGAGCTGAACTCCGAAAGCTTGCTGGCAGATCTGACAATTAGTACAACTGAAATCTTTTTTGTAAGGAGTAACCTAGGCATTTTGAGCCAAAGATTCATTCTCCAACCCGCTTATTCCTTTTTTGGCATAATGGGGGTCTGCCTGTGCCTATCTCCAGCGCACATTGGACGAGAGGTGGGGGTACACCCTGGACAGGTCGACAGTCACAGTCACACCTTGGAATTGGGATTATTCATTTAACTTAACTGCATGTTTTGGCTTAACTGCATGAAACCGGAGAACCTGGAAGAAACCCACTTAAGCACAGGGAGAACATGCAAACTCCTTCCAGGTAGGTCACCGGCGAGTAGGTCACACATCAGAGTCATTTAGTTCAAAATTGACATAATTTTAAGGAAAACATGCGCATGTACAAATTAAAAATGATAGCGGATGGTAAAGAACATTTTTATTTGATTGATTTATTGCTGAAGACAAGCTTTAGAAAACAATGTAGTCACCCTTACTTTCACATATAAAACTCAAAACTCTAAATATCTTCCTTCATCTCAGGCCCTGTCCACACAAATTTTCTGTGCGGTTATGCAGCACCATTTACATGTAACCCTGCATTTTTGAAACACTGGTCAAGGTTAATTGTATTTGAAATGCTCTGCAGCCGGGTTCTGTGTGGAAAGGGAAACCAGATTTGTTTGTGTTTTTTTGGAGTGGAGAGCTGTGTTTACAACAGTAAGCTTAATGTCGGCCTAAGTGAGGACTTTGTTGCTTTTGTTCTGCTATCATGGCTTACAGTATGTACAGGATCACATATGCATGTTTACTATTTGATCAGTGAACAGAAGCACGTGTGTTTGTGAACACATGAAGTGTTGAAAAACATTATTAAAAAAAACATGATTCGACTGCCACCTACTGGCTTGGTAGAGTCATTACACATTTCAGGAGCATATGAATGACTGCGGGGACGTTTTTTGGGACACGTGTGGATGCCAATTGTATCTCGAATCATTACCACCCAATACAAGTCTTTGGGAAAAACCTGAACTTGAATGATTTGAACCTGAAAATTATTTCCTCTGAAATTTAATTTTTACACAGACGGTTTTAATGATTTGCGAAACAATACACAGCGAACAATGTTCAATAGATGTTTTTTTTTGGTTCAAGTTTATTTTTGTGTGGTTCACAATGGTTGAATTACCCCTTAAAAACTAGGCTGGACCATGTGATTGACAGCTATAATTGACATCTTCACACAATACCTACAACTGTTATCATGTCGTGAGAAAGATCATTTATGCTGGCAATGATCAAACTCAGAAAAGCCATTCTCAAATTCTTGTTTGTAATTACAAAATAAGTTGTTTCTAACAAACTGCGTGTAAGTGGAGCGTGTGCGAGTCAGACTCGAGGTGGAGCTCTGAAACCATGATGGTTCCATCCTTATCAGGGAGTGCACTGTGCACCCACTCAATGGTAGCCTCCAGTCCAGCTCAGAAAAAGCTTCATATTAGCCAAATTCCTGTAGGTGGTGTCACATGATCCACATTTAGTACAGGTCTTTTTTTGTACACATGCTCAAAATTAACCTGGGTATGTGTGGACATGGCCTTCTATGTTACACATGGCATGAATATTGATCATAATTCATTAATAATGATTATGTTGCAGGTCCCGCCCCGGAGACCCAGCAGACAGATTACTGTTCCTGTAAAACAGGATAATTGAAAAACAATCACGGAGTCACGTCTGTCCTTTTGCAGCTCCTCTGGCGATCTGCACCTTTATTGTACAGCATCAGTTAACAAATAATAAATGTCACTCTAGAACAAATAGTATGAAACATATAATCACTCTAGTGTCCACAACATCAGAAACCAATTACACTGTCTCATCTTTTTCCCCTTTGAGTTGTCCTCAAAATACTCAGTAGTTATTTAAATCAATATTAACAATAACTACAAATGTATAATTTATAGATGTATCTATATGTCTAACTTCGTATGAAGTATTACTCCTATTTTTTTTAAATAATAATGTCAACTGAATTTGACGTTTTCTCTCATGGAGAGCATTTGAGAGAGAGCGAGACTCTGAGCTGCAGCAGCTGTCTGTCTCTATTCAGTGGGTGGTCACGTGACCTCTAAGCGCGCCAAACATGAGTGCTGAGGAAGCCTCATGGAGCCTTTTTAACTAGAATAAATTATGTACACGATTAAACGAATGGCTTTCCCTCAAAACAACAATACAACTATACAAACTTATTACATAGATCACTGGAGTACACTTACTAACTTATCTTCAAACATAACATACTTTAAACCACTTCTTACACTTGCCCATATTCCACACATCAACATTATATACATTCACTGTAATAGTATTGTTCTTTTGTCCATTTTTACCTGTAAAACAGGATAATTGAAAAACAATCACGGAGTCACGTCTGTCCTTTTGCAGCTCCTCTGGCGATCTGAAGGAGTGCACAGTTCAACCGGGAGATCCTCCTGATTGCGTATCAAAATAAAAGTCCTCTCCATAGAAACACAAAACTTTGCAAACAAACAATGCATGAACATATTTACAAGTGTACATATATATATTTTTCTTATTATGATTACAAAGCCCACACCATTGTATAAACACTTTTGTGTGTATCACAATATATATATATAAATAAATAAAATGTGTGGTATTGTTAGCATTAGCTGCTTGGGTAACATTTAAAAAGTTGTTTACACAGCATTTCGCTCATCCAAACACATAGTTCTTACTCTAAATCAGGGGTCACCATCAGACCTGCTCGCCCGCGAGGACCACATGAATTGCCCGCCACATGTTCTAACAATAGCTGAAATAGCGCCACTTTCTAGTGAGCTGAAACTAATTTAATATGACTGTTATTCTAGTCTCAATGAGACTTGCCTGTAAGCTTGATATGACAATATATACATTTTTAAAAATTATTTTTAAATATATATGAACTATGACCTGGTAGAGTTGAAAGGTCAGTATGATGCACCATGACAACACAAGCAATCAAGCAGCACAGCGATAATGAGACGACCGACCTATAAAAAGATAGTTTCATTTTCGCGAAGAAGATGAGGTAAAGTTTTTTTTTACCTATGTGAAAGGAGCGTGTGTTTGTCTCATTTGCGCGATGACTGTAGCGGCAACAGCCAAGTTGCACAAGGTAGAGAGACATCTCAGGACGTGGACACAAGCTACCAACTATCCACAGAGCAGCGCACTGAATGCAGAAAAAGCAGTGAGTTGCGAGAGATGTACATCTGAAAGACTCACTCAGAGTTTAACTTACTGGTAAACTGCACCCAATGCCAGGCTTTCCAATAACTGAAAGAAACAAATACCAGATTTGGTCTCCAGCTCATGTTCAGTTCAATGCATTTGTAAAATGTAAAAATTGTTAAAATGTTAACAATGGAAAAAAAAAAAATTATTTATATGATTTATTATTTGTAGATAGGACATTGTGATTTCTTGGACTGTTGTAGAAGAGATAATTTTGAAGTGTTTTGAACATTTATATATATTTTTTTCAATTTAAAAAACAGTTGCACTAAGATAAAATATAATTATAAAGTGTTGTATATAAATATTTATTTGTTTACTTCCTTGTTAATTCATTGTGAGAAATAATTCGATCAGTGTCTTTGCAGAGATGAATATCCTTATTTATGAATAATATTCAGAAGAGGGTCTTAAAGTGGTAGCCCTTTGCATTAATCAGTACCCAGGAAGTAGCTCTCTGTTTCAAAAAGGTTGGTGACCCCTGCTCTCAATGCACACCTTTTAATGGTATACATATCATAAATAGAGTAAAGATTTTGAAATCTGTCATTTAAATGACTAGGGGTGAATTTTCCAAAAGGAAAGGCAAAAAGAGTTTTGGCTCCACTGGACCCCGCCTACTCGAGGATATAGAGCACAGACCGCCCAGTCCCCGTCAGCCAAGAACCTGTGGTGAACTGTGCTCCTCCGGCATCGTCTGTACGTGTGACGAGCGCCTGCATCATGAGATCCAATACTGACAGATAGATGTTCTTGTTGTGTTCCTGTGTCTTTAAGACATTTTGGACTAATGCAGAGCGAGTATTGAACAAATTAACGTAAGCCACGATAAACGGGAAGCCAACCAGATAGTCGAGGAACGCTACGAAACATTACCGGGAGCTGTTTGTCTGGACATTCTTCACTGGGAGCTCCGGTGTGTCGCTAGAACTGGAATGTGGCGATCTGGCTGGAGGTAGCCCGTCGGTCGAGCGTGGCCGTGGCACGGGATCTGGATCTGAAGGCAGCGGGATGCTGAACTGGGGGTGAGCTCTTACAGTATCGCCGTGATCGCGAATAACGCGACGCCGGGGTTGGTGAAGGTCTGGCGTTGGCTGGCAGTGTGGCTTCAGCTGCTGCTGCACGGTTAGCCAACTGAGAACACCGTGTAATGCTTATGAAGATCAGGTTTAGAAAATGTGACGGGGCCTACTTTGCTTGCGAGCTCTCGTCTGCAGACACGAGTTTAAGCACATTATTGTTGAGATTATTGCGATATTGTGTGAGATGGCAGTGCGTTCATGGATTATCTCGTGCAGGTTACCCGCAGTGTGAATTGTTTACATGCTGCAGATGGGCATGGACGTGACAGACGAGACACGACCTGCCACATAAACACACCCTCAGATGAGAAATCTG